GCTACTAGGAACAAATGTTCAGTCCTGTTCAGTCCCTGGCCTTACTACGTTCGCGGCTCCTGGCCTCGCTACGAACGGAGCGATCGGACGCTACTAGGGGCAAAGGGCATCGCTTCCGTCTGGAAAGTCTTACCCATGCAGTCTATGATTTTAGTGGCGACCAAATTGTCCCAAGGCACCAAGCTCGCTTCTCCTTGGACCAAGCGGTCTTCCATGAGGACAAGCCAATGGTACAGTCGTACTTCTCGCCATCCTGAATGATGATATGGTGATCATGGTCGTTGTCATCCTGATAGATGGTTTGGTGACCAAAGTCACCATGCGAGACGACCCAGCTCGGGCTGCCAGGGGCCACCTCGGGAGGGAGGGCCAAGGCCGCTTCGCCGCTTCGCAAGAATGTGATGGCCTCCACCCTTTTGTGTCAGGATGCACTTGTTCCTAGTAGCGAACCTTGTTACTACTAGTAAGGCACTTGTTACTAGAAGCGATGCACTTGTTACTAGTAGCTTCTTGTCTCTGTCAGGGTTAGTTGTGCTTTCTTTTCAGAAACACAACATTCCATGGCATTGCATAGGCGAAACTTTCACCCAAGAAGCTGAAGCATCGGCAAACTCTGGGCTGTCCTGGCGGAATGGGGGACCCACAAATTCCAGCAATTGGTATTGTTCCTTCAAACATGACGAGAACCGAGAACCCAATCTGTATTCATCCACTTTCTATACCACAGAGCCAGGTTGAGAACCTTTTCATTCTCTATTTGGTTGGAGGCCAATCGCTGGTAGGTTGGAGGCCATTCTCTATGAGGTTGGAGGCCATCGTTATTAAGCTGTTAGGTTCCTTGAAGTCTTTTTCTGGGCAAACTGATGACTTGGCCCCATTGATCGGCTCTTTCCGGACGCTTCGCTTCAGCATCCACCAATGTCTTCGGGCGATTTCACCCAGCCGCGGCTCGTCTTGTGGCGCCTGACTTTGTCAGTGCCAAACTGTCAATCCACTTCGAAGTCGAAGTCGACCGAAAAACGCTGCGACCTCGTTGTGTCACCTAGCCACCTAGCCATTGGCGCGTCGACGGCGTGGTCTTCGCTTTGACTCTCCATCGATCCCTTCGGCCCTTCGGCAAGCCCGGACAGCTCCGCATCCACGGAGCGCGCCACAGGAAGGCACCGGCGCCACCGGCTTCCGGTCACATCGCGGCGCATCGGTGTCTGGGGCTCACTGGGGATAGCAATGCTGCAACGAAGAGCTGCACGCATATCATAGAACTCAATCACGATGTCACCACCGCAGTTGGAAAACCCTGCAATCTCACCGAACTGTTCAAAGCTGTCCTGCCGTGGAAGATCTGCGAACTCAGAGCTCGACAACCTCACCGCACGGAAGTCCTTCATCCCTTCCGGGGCAAGCCAAGCGTTGGGTTTGAAGTTCGAGAGGACCTGCTGGGCCACCCGCACATCATAGAAGGTTACAAGAACCAGCCGATCTGTTGATGCGAAGGATATGTCCAACCGGGCCACCTCATAACCCTTGAAGAGCTCGGAAGCTTCTACAAAGGTCGGGCACTTATGAAACTGAATTGCCACGGTGTTTGAAACCGCGAGGCATGCAGATGCGGCCATGAATCCGGAAAACGGTCTCGACCCCGCCACACCGCCCCCTAAACATGCAGTCTTCCCGTCTCTTGGGCCACGGGTCCGGTCGGCCATCGCTACTAGTAGGGAGGCCATTGCTCCGGTCGGCTATTAGGTTCGTGAAAACTAGGTTCCTTACAAAGTAATTGTTCTTAAAGTCATCTTTCAAAACGACTCTGACAACTCTTGTTTGAGCTTGTGCCTCGAAGTGGTTGTATCTGGCCTCTGTCCATCTGTGATCTGCAGCTGGAGTTTCCTCATGAACAGTCAAAACGTACAAGATTGAATATTTCGTAGCAAGGAAATAAGGAAACATCGTAGCGAGACTGACAGATCCAAGCAACTGGTTCTGGATATTGTACATATACATCAGATGCAAACGCATCCGAAATGTGGAGGCCTCAAACATAGCACGCAAGGTAGCAAGGGCAAATGCACGTGAAAACAATGCAACAAGGAGCTGAACTTTTCGCACCTCTGTTTTTGCAGAAAAGCTACCGCCTGTAATGCTTTAGGTCTCTCTTTGGATTACTTCTAGATTCTTTTGGAGGCCATCGCTATGGAGGCCATTGCTATTAGGTTCTTATATATAAAATAAGCAAAAAAAGATATCAAACTGCACAATTGAATCGCAAAACAAGACATTGCGACCACGGAACCTAGCAGTAGCGCCGCAAGGGACGCTGAGCGCGGGCGCCCCATCCCTCTCAGCCCTGCAGGTCATGTGAGCTAAGAAGCAAAGAATGTGAGCTACCTTGTTATTGGTAGCTTTTTGCTCCTAGTAGCGATGCCAGGAGCCCCTAGTAGCTTCTTGTTCCTAATGAAAGAAGGTCTTTTTTTTCAAGCAAAAAACTGGTGCAAACGGGTGCAAAAGTCTTTTAAACAAACAAACGGTGCGAGACAGTGAAGAACTCTGTCGCACAAAGGCGGGTTCTCGACTCAGAAAGCGAAAGCACTCGTGGTCGACGTGGAACAGGCTCCCCTCGCTACTAGGAGCAAAGGGCATCGCTACTAGGAGCAAGGACGCTACTAGGGGCTCCTGGCATTGCTACTAGGAACAAGAAGCTACTAGGAGAAAGAAGCTACTAGGGTGGAGGCCATCACTACTAGGTTGGAGGCCATTACTACGAGTAACAAGCTCTCTTGAAATTGATGATTTAGGGTTAGAGATGGTCTCTAGAAATGTGTTGGAGGTCTCTAGAAATCTCTAAGTTGCCAGATTGGGACGTATGTTGTCTGGACCACACCCCAGGTGCTCTCCAAGCGGCTCAAACTGCTCAATCGCTCCCGAGCCCACAAATTTCTAGGGCTGAGCCAAAGCGGAGTCCAAGCGTGCAGCATGAAACGACTACACAAACCAATAGCAACCCAGCAAAAGGAACCGGACAAAGAAGGAACCTAGAGATGGCCTCCAACCTACTAGCGATGGCCTCCAATCCAATAGACCTGTCTTCCTTTTCTTTCCTTTGTTTCCGCTAGCAATGGCCTCTATTAGCATATCGCCTTCACCTTTTGACATCACACTCCCTGTTCTGAAAAAATGCGGTTCTTTTCAATCTTTTCCAAACGAACAAAAACAAACAGTGAAAGTCTGCATACGACAGTCTCGGTCTCCCCACGTCGTACATGAGTCCGCCTTGAAGCTGCTTCCTCGAATCCGTCCGGTGCTCGGGGCTCGGCCAACGGCTGAAAGGCAGGTGATCTTGACAGATTATAACCTAGTAGCGATGGCCTCCAACCTACTTAAAGGTCATTTTGACAGGTTACATTGTTGCCTTTGCCTTTCAACAGCTTAGCACTAGGGCACTAGGGGATTCCAACGGTTTTTGAGCCGCACTAAGCCTTTGGTCATTTCCTTCGTGACAGCCTTTAGCTCTGCTCTTTCTCCATCCAGAAAGATGCCCTTTGACTGGTTGCCCGTTTTCGCATTCGAGCTAAGGCTACCGTGGCGACTGATTTCGTGACGTTGGTGAGTCTTTGTTGGACGACTTCTTTCTTTAGCCCGCTCCCCCCTACTTAATTAAGTAGGCACCGACTTAATTACTGTAAGTAAGGGACTAGTACGCTACTAGTATGGACTAGTACGATAGCTATTCTTAACCTTCCAAGCTTTGTCTTTCTCAGATCTGGATCACAGATCCACAGAAGGCGATATCGCTTTTGATAGGCGGGCGGCTCTGGCAGTGGTCATAGTCCGCAGGAATATGCGTCGCAGTTCAGGACCGGGATCCATTTTAAACCCCAACCACATGTGGAGGCCATCGCTAGTAGGTTGGAGGCCATCGCATCGTTTGCGGCGTTCGAGGCGTCGTAATGCCCTCGGTTTGGGCTCGGCATTAAATCCATCACGCTTGATCACAAGCCCAGCTGGTTCACCATTAGGAGATGCATGTAAATCACGGACCCCGAGAAGTGATTTCCTCCTATTTAACTCTTAAAGTCTCAACCAGCAAATGTCTTCGGTCAAAAGACAAGCCAGCATGCATCTTGCAGTCACAGTTCGCATCAACCGAGGAGCTCAAGCTTTTCGGTCTCAGTTCTCATCTTCTCAAAATAGAGTCTGTGCCTTCGACGTCGAGAACTGCACCACTGTTGGGAACACAATGAGAGACCGGGTGGTGCTGAGATCATTCGCTACTAGTAGCTTCTTGTCACTACTAGTATGGCACTTGTTACTACTAGCGATGCACTTGTTACTAGTAGCGAACCTTGTTCCTAGTAGTAAGGCAAGGAGCCCCTAGTAGCTTGTTGCATGCTAGCTTCAAAGGCTCTCCAACGCCGGCCGTCGAGTTTTCCGCCTGGGCATGGGTGGCGGCTTGGGAATTCTCTCTCCACTTTCCTTGGCAACCTCGAGTCGCTGAAGAGCAACACATTGAACAAGAAGCAGCGATGGGAATACATCGGAACACAAAAAGACTAAGAAAAAGCTAAATGAAAACAATCCAGAAAAGGAGAAGGATGGACTCTAATAGCAATGGCCTCCAACCTAGAGAGAGAGGGAGAGAGTGAGAAAGAAGAACATGAAAGAAAAAGTAAAGACCTCTCGGTCCAAAGAAAGACAATCGTCACACGCTCGGCCCCTGGCCATCTCCGTCCCAGGCCAAACGAACTGAGGCCAAGCCTCGCGCACATCCGGGTGACACCACGACACCCCAAGCAGTGACCAAAGGGCATTACTACTAGCAACAAGGATGCTTCTAGTAACAGTAGCTCCTGGCCTTACTAGGAGCAAGAAGCTACTAGGAACAAGGGCATTTCTACTAGTAACAAGGACATCGCTACTAGGAGCCAGAAGCTACTAGGAACAAGGGCAGTTCTACAACAAGGGCATCGCTACTAGGAACAAGGACGTTACTGGGAACAAAGGGCATCGCTCCTAGGAGCAAAGGGCATCACTAGTAGTAGCAAGTTCAAACACCAGAGCACCACAGCGAAGTACGGATGGCCTCCAACCCTACTAGCGATGGCCTCCAACCTAGTAGCAAAGTATTACTTTATCCCTTTTTGCAGCTTGTTCCTTGTTTTTCCCTTGTTCCCTTAAGCTTCTAGGCAGGACGTGGGATAGCTCACGCACTATTCATTTGGTTCCTAGATTTTGGGGCACACTTAACTTGCAACATTCTGTTCGGTTTTATCTTTCCTTTGAGCTCGTCATTTGGCTTCAAACGCTTTAAAACGGCGTTGCTCGATTTGCTACAATAGAAGCACATGTGGTGCTCGAACACATGCCAACATTAACATGTATGAACATCGAGAGGCAATACTTCCGGTGGAGTATACCACCTGAAGTGGAGGAGTTTGAGCAAATACACTTTCTGCACAATAGACCATCGCTAGTAGGTTGGAGGCCATCGCTAGCAGTTCTTTTTGGCCACACTAGACATCCTGTCTTGATGGATGAGACGCTCGGAACTGACTGACCTGCTGGTATCCCACATCGATTTCCACTGGCTCATCCTGCAGGAAGGATGAGACAGGTGTGAAATATGTCAAGGTTCCCAATCGACAACCACGTCCACATGCCGAGTCCTTCACCACCTCTCGGATGTAATTCCCTGCAAAGCAAACGCAAAAGATACATTCAGCCTTCGACAAATCAGTCAAATGATGTCCGGTCATGGGTCAAATCCGAAAGAATGCAAGAAGTCACTGAATAGAAGGCCATCGCTATTAGGTTGGAGGCCATTGGCTTAAGTTTCCCTAAACATCTAGTAGCCCAATAAATAGAAGCGTGAGCTGTCCACCTTAGTAGCTACTCTACTAGCTACCTAGCTACTACTAGCTACCTCTACGGCCTACCTGGCCTAGCCCCCCCTCAGGCTGCCAACTTCTCAATCACGTCTTCTTTTGAACTGCTACTAGGAACAAGTGCCACGCTAGTAGTAACAAGTGCCTTACTAGTAGTAACAAGAAGCTATTAGAATTAAAATAAATTAAGTTTAAATTACTAGCTTCTTGTTACTACCAGTAAGGCACTTGTTACTACTAGCGATGCACTTGTAATTACTAGCAAAGGAATCTACTAGGTCTTCTTTTGAAAAGAGGTCAAACTGTGGTTGGTGTCTCTGTGCCTTGGAAGTGGCAGACTGCTTGCCGCAAAGGCGAGATTCGATGCCTTGGCGATCTCGACATGAGACATATACTATATATATATGTACATATGGAATTGAATTGAACAAAATCTAAAAACATATTTAAAACAACACAAATTATGGAAAAAAAACAACTTTGGAACAACAGACACAACTTCATCCGGATGAGACCGGGGTTCCCGGTACTACCCCGACCAAACAGGAAGAACAAAGGAAACAAACAAAGCAACGACGGCAAAATCAAAAGAAATTGTTAAAGTGAACAATAGAAAGGGCATCCTTTAATAAGGCCTTAGGTGCCCGCTAGCTTGTTCCTAGAAGAGCTAGCTATCTCCTGAATCTTCCTACGAGTCCTGCCTGCCACCCCAAGTCCACCCCATGCTGGCGGCGCACTTCGCCCCACTCCACTTGCGGCAAGTGTCAAATCCTTTTCCATCATGGCGAAGTCAGCTGGCCTTGGAAACGGTGAAGCGAACATTGGGCCATGTTCAAAGGCGTCCAAGCTCAGTGGCGGGAGGCTCTCGGGCCAGTTGGTCAAAATCACGTCTCCTGCGAAACGGAGAAAGTCACGTTTGATGTGGAGAAAAAGCACAAGAAGTTAGACACACATGCTTCATTTTTTATGTTCATTTTTAGACCATTTTTTAAGACCTGTTATCATGTTCTTTCTTTTAAGACCTGTCATTATTTTGCTTTTCTTTGGACTGTTTTTTCTCGCAAGACTTTATGGTCCCTTGGTGCGTGTATATATGCAGCGTCCCTTGCTTCCTGTCGGTTCTGGGTTCTCGAACTCTTTGGGGGATCATGGGAAACAAATATGCTGGGAAGTTTGTCTCAGGTTGATTCAACTAAATTGCTTTAGTTCGTGATCTTTTTGAAATATAGTTGTACCTTTGAAACCAAGAAACATGCTAATTTGACATGATTCTGCTAGGACAATCATTGTTTCTTGTGAGTTCGCGGATGAAACATGTGCATTCGGCAAACATGTGATTGTCTACTAGCTGTACAACTTCCTTCAAATAAAGTGCACAAGTTTGAAACAACTCATCATTGGCACAAGAACTCAAACTTAAACGTTATTATCCTGCCACTCAGTTCGAAAGCAATACAGCGAATTGCTACTAGGGTGGAGAGGCCATCGCTCTTAGGTTGGAGGCCATCGCTAAAAGAAAAAACAAAAGGAAGAAGGCCATCGCTAGTTTGCTTTTGGGTTGGAGGCCATCCACAAAGTGCAACGTATGGAGCACCACACAGGACACGCACACAGAAACACCCTCTCTGGTGTCGCTCCTTCGACATCCATGTGGATCTCATACCAAAAAACAATAGCAGTGATGCGGCCTGACTGCGCTGGCCACATCTGTGACAAACGGGAAAAAAAAAACGATTCTTTTCTTACTTTGACCATGAAATCATATGATCATGGTAAATTAAGCATATAGCTAGTAGTAACAAGTGCATTGCTAGTAGTAACAAGTGCCTTACTAGTAGTAACAAGTGCCACGCTACTAGGAACAAGTGCTCGTTAGTGAGGTCCTTTTGGTTCAGCTCTGAACTTGCCTGTTGCCAAAGGGGTGAAGCTAATGCTGTGCGCCTCAGACCCACAGCCGTGAAGAACCATGAAGAGCTGTGAAGAACCGCGATCCCTCTCAGGCTTCGGCATTTGGCATTTCATTCTTCTCGAAGTCAAATTTGAAGACCTTGGAGGCCATTGCTAGTAGGTTTCTGTTCTTTTTATCTCTTCTTGACGTTTCTCGTATTCTACCATATTCTACCACATTCTACCCGATGACCATGCTGCAGTTCTGAGCATGCTGCTTCAAAGACATTGGACATTTGCTTCGCACTGCCATCTGCCAAAGCTGTGTCAACATCAGCCCTGCCAGGGCCATCATGTGCGAACATTAAAATCCGGATGTTGGTTTTTCTTTGTTGTTTCTTTCTTTGCCTTTCATGTTTCTTTAGACCGTTTTAGACCTTGTTTCTTGTCTTTTAGACCTGTTCCTTTCGTTCTTTTCCTTTTCTCTTCTTTTTCCATGTTTCTTTTAGCCTTTAGCCGTCTCCTTTCCTTTAAATACCTTAGAGCGGTTTCACTTTTCTTTAGACCTTTTGACCTTCAGGCATGTCTTTAGACCTTCTGTCTTTGGCCCCCAAAGATGGGATTCCTTCTTTCACCGTTCATTGCTTTCAGTGGCTTGAACAAGCTCTGAGTGTAGCACATCAAGCCCGTGCGATAGTGGTTGAAGGCACTCAAATTGAATCTCAGAACGAACCGAAAAGCATAGTAAGGCACTTGTTCCTAGTAGCTTCTTGTTACTACTAGTAAGGCACTTGTTACTAGTAGCGATGCACTTGTTTCTAATACTAGTAGCGAGGCGCTTGTTCCTAGTATTTCTTTTAAATAGACTCCTGATTCATGCAATTCTGCTATTCCGGTATTGCCTGATCTAGAATAGAACACTCGTAATTCATGTGAACACTCTTTGTCGAAGACACATGATTTGTGTCACATCTCATGAAAACATCTCATGTGGAGGCCATTGCTTCTAGGTTGGAGGCCATTGCCATTGCGTCCTTGCTCCTAGTAGTATGGCTCCTGTAGTAGCTTCTTGTTCCTAGTAGCAATGCCAGGAGCGTCTAGTAGCGTCCTTCATTTTCCGCCAAGACACCCCTGATAGTCCTTGAGATGTTCCCCGAACCTCGGCCAAGGTTCACTTTCAAACGAACATCAATTTAATTAAATGAAGGTAAACAAGAAAAATAACACATCAAGCAAGTCGATAAACGGCCGAAAGAAAGAACAATGCAAAAAAAACAACAACATAGCTGCTTGACTTTTCTCCCTAGTAGCTTCGTGTTACTAGTAGCGATGCCCTTTGTTCCTAGTAGCGATGCCAGGAGCCCCTAGCGTCCTTGCTCCTAGTTAGTAGCAATGCCCTTTGTTCCTAATAGCGTCTTGTTGTGTATATGCACAGGAGATCCCGACCAAGTTGTGTGATCATTGTTTTTGAAAACATGCAAAAAGAGCCAGTTGCATATTAATTTTGCACGTTGTTTCTCTTGTCTTGTCCTTTGGACCGATTTAGTCCCCTCTATCTTTCTTGCTCTCCTTTATTTAAGACGTTGAGCATGGGGGCAACTTCCAAAGCGCTTGAAACCTATCTTCATTGGTTCATTGAATCCCATCTTCCCACACCCGTCTACTTGTTCATGACACGTCTTCTCTTTCTGAAATTCTTCCGACAACGTCTCTCGTTTCTTCTGCCTTTACAGATCAAAAGAAGAAACAGAAACCGATTTCTCCCGAAACTGTTTCTTCCACATTCCAACTGTCTGCGTTCCACCTCTCTCCGAAAAAAAGAAAGACAGTCATTTTACTTCGTCTCGCAGGGGTCGTTTTTCGAGTTTTAAGTCAAAAAACGTCCTTTTTTGACTAGTAGTAACAAGTGCCTCGCTAGTAGTAACAAGTGCCTCGCTAGTAGTAGCAAGTGCCTTACTAGTAGTAACAAGAAGCTACTAGGGGCTCCTGGCCTTACATTTCTGCGAAATCGGTTCTTTCGCTCTTTTCATCTCAGCCCTTCACTCGAAGGCAGCGGCCCACAACGTGGCACGGCTTGGGATCACCTCGAGTCGGACCGTTTCAGGTGACAAAGTAGTAACAGGTGCCACGCTAGTAGTAACAGGTGCCTTACTAGTAGTAACAAAGAAGCTAAGGGAGAATTAAGTTTAAAGAAAGAAAGTAGTCATAAGTAGTCTAATTCTCGTTTCAAATAGCGTTCTTGTTACTACTAGTAAGGCACTTGTTACGAACGAAGCGATGCACTTGTTACTAGTAGCTTTTTTGACACTACCTGGAAGGAAAGGAAGAAAGGTCTAAAAGGTCTAAAGAACAGTTCTTACCTTTGGACTTGGAGTTCAAAACAGTTAGTCCCTTCTGAAACATGTTCACAGAATCCATCTGGGTTCTCTTGGACCGCTGGCTTGGTGATCAAAAGCGTTGCACATTTTGATGCGCGCAGCGTTCAGAAGCACCAGGATCCCTTCACCTCAGCGCGTCGCATTCACCCCGGGCGCCGGGAGTTGACAGTGCTCGTTTCGTGGGCCCTGGGCCCAACAAGCCGGAGGCCATTACTAGGAACAAGAAAGCTAGTAGTAACAAGTGCATCGCTTCTAGTAACAAGTGCCTTACTAGTAGTAACAAGAAGCTACCAGGAACAAGAAGCTGCTAGGGGCTCCTGGCCTTGCTACTTGGAGCGATCGGACGCTACTAGTTGTTCTTTGAAGCTTCTTAGAAAAGCTTTCTAGCAACGACCAAAGCTTCCTTGTGAATCGTTTCACCTGCAACAAGAAGCTTCTTAGCAACAGTTCGTGGGCCCTGGGCCCAACAAGCCGGCATCAAAGTGCTCACAAATCACCAACTGAGCACGTTGAGGCTGGCCTTAACTCGAGCAAAGTGCTCCACTCGAGCATCTGTGATGCAAAGCGATGCAAAGCGACAGAACACACGTTGAGTAATGGCATTGGCATCCAACCTAATAGCAGAAGGAACCTAATAGAAAGGGCAGAAGAACCTAGAAGCAATGGCCTCCAACCACTGTTCAAAAAACCCTCCTTGGTGCTCCACTGGGCAACTTCCTCACGTCCTTGCAAAGCGTCTAGAAACATTCCAAGATTGCAATATATGTGACAACGTATATACTGTTTCAGGAAAAGTTCAGTCTTGCCCCCGTCGTTTCAAGGATCGCACCAATCTCACTAGAGGAATCCTGTAACTTGAAGACTTAGACTTTGGGATCGCATCCTGCAAATTCCTGCCAGTAGCTATTAGGTTGGAGGCCATCGCTAGTAGGTGTAGGTCTGTTGGGCTCATGCAGAGCTGATTCATCCCAACTTCGCACCTCGTTGCAGAGGAAAACATCGTTCTCCAAGTGGTTGTCTCGGAAGACACGCTTGGCGAGTTTGACCACTTTGGGCATTTGCCTCGAAGCGGCCGAGGCCGAGTTCCAGCTGTTCGATCTCTTCTTGTCTCTTTTTTCCCTTGAAGAAGCGCTCGCGCTGATTTGGTTGATCGATGTTTAAGGACATTTATGTACCAGAAAAGAGCTTAGACCAAAGATGAGTGAGTCTATGTGAACCATTACGAAGACCTTTTCCTTCCTTGCCACATACGAACATCTGCTTGGCTCCCCCCACTCGATCGCCACCACGGAATAGCCATGGGTCTCAATCTCCGAGTCTGTAATCCCTGCTTCCCTGGCGCCTGAGATGGATAACCCGTCAGGAACAAAGGACGCTACTAGGAACAAAGGGCATCGCTACTAGGAGCAAGGACGCTACTAGGAACAAGTGCATCGCTTCTAGTAACAAGTGCCTTACTAGTAGTAACAAGAAGCTACTAGGAGCAATGTTCGCTACTAGTGGAGACGCGCCGTCACCCCACGTGGAACCGAAGAGCATCGAGAAGCAAACCCGCACCTTTCGTTCGTAACGTCCGATCGCTCCGTTCGAGTCGCGATGCCCGTTCGTAGCTCCGTTCGTAGCGTCCTCTTGTCTAGATGTTGCTAGTAGTAAGGCCAGGAGCCCCTAGTAGCGTCCTACCTACATGGAAGATCATGGAAGAGTGTGAAAAGGATAATGCAATTGCAATCACATTCCATTCGTTCCGAACTCTTCCGAAGCTAGTAGGAATTGCTAGTAGCTTGGAGGCCATCGCGATTACGTTTCTTTTTCGTTTTGCCATAAGCAAAGCACTCACAATTCGAAGCACGAAAACGCTAAGCTGAGCGTCATTTGGCCGTCAGCATTGAGATTTGGCCCAGTCCTGAAGGACAGCGACGCGCGGTGTGAGCGAGCGCCAACTCTGACACGACCGCTCCGCTCAATCCGAAGTCCCATTTTCTTGTCGAATGTCAACTTACTACTAGTAACAAGAAGCTACTAGGGGCTCCTGGCCTTACTACTAGG